GACGTTCCCGCTTCTCCTCCCGTCGTCGGCTCTTTCTACTAGATACTACTATAAGTGCTATCCTTACAATGGCAATGTGCATCACGCGCTCTCGATGATTCTTTTCACATGATAGACATGGCAGTGACACAACAACTACCTAACGACGAAAACCTCTGCAAGGCCAAGCAATTCTGCGCAGGTGTGCAAAGCTATGCACAGCCTGCCTGACACGACATCTCTTGCAGCGGACTCGAGCATTCTCGACATACATATCACGCGTGCCGTGGGCTCCTCTGCCGTTTCCAACAAACTAATTACCGCATTGCGGCAGACTTGGAAGCATTGCGAAGCACAGGTCAAATGTACAAAGGTCACAAGTTCCACTCGGGGTAGGCGGTTTAACAGCGGGCTTCGGGCCAACACTCTCGTGTGTGCAGCGCTTTTGCCAAAATTTATATCTAGCAATCAAAGCTCGTGTTTGCGGTGTCAGGAAGCTGCGTCCTTCTACAGACCTGTTTGCACTGAGAGATTTGCTCGCTAATTGAAGTCGTCGCATAGAGCGGCGACACGTTTTGTCTCTGTACTGTCGCGGACCTTACGGACCTCGGAAGCCCCGCATGGGATCACCATGATTTAATGTGCCTGAGGCCTGTGTCGACAGAGCAGCCCCATGGACGGATATGGACAGCACGCCTTATTGAATGCATTTCAACGGGTGCGCGGAGTAACGGGAACCGCTTTGAGTGATGGATCTCGCACACTGCAACGGAAACGTGTAGCCACGGTCACGGCAACCCGGCGACCAGCGAAACACGAACGACCACCGGAACAGGAACTGCAATCGGAAACTTTTATGCTCGCTAAGTCGGGGACCGAAGACAGGTTCTCCACGGGCAGATGGGAATAGATGACGATACCGATGCATTGGGACACGGGCACACACACACACACATTTGCATTCGTTGAGTTTCATCGACACATAGACGCATGAATAAATGATGTGATTGCGGTCATAAGTTCATGTGTGCGTTGTTGTTTGTCAAAGAGGTGGAGTACCTAGAACCGCTGAACCCATAAACCCAAAACGCAATAAACCCTAAACTTGCAAACCTCTAAACCCAAAACCACAACCCTTAACCCTTGACGCTAAACCCTTAAAGGCACAGGTTCCTGTTACAAGGGGCTGTCGGCCACACTTGCGCGCAGAAGACATGGTTGTACTGCAGAAGCGTTGAAGTCACATCAACTTTTTATGGACTTATGGTTCCCCCAAGGAACGCCGCCCGTCAACCAATAGAAAAAGTCACGTCAATGTACTTCCCGCAAGTAAACGCTCGACATCCAAAGAACAATTTGGATTGTGAAGGTGCAGCAACTTACGAATCCCCAAGGAAACGCTAGTCACATCATGCCGTTGCACCGGTCGCTTGCAGGTCTTTGTGCAACAGTTTTTGCAAACAATCCCCATGTAAACGCTGATATTTCATTAACTTATATGAGCGCAGGGACGAGTACCTCATTACCGTCCGACCCCGAAGACATAACAACTGCAGCTCTGGAGCCTTTCCCCGAAGGAGACGCGCGTTCTGTCTCGTTTCCGGGAAGTCATAACATTCTGTCGTTTCCGCAACTAGATGCTCGTTCAACCATATAGAACAAGTGCACTTTGCATGGGAAAGTCGAAGCGGAAGTCATAACATTCGCCTTGTTCCCCAAGTGGACGCTCGATTTCAGAATCACCCGCTCCAGACACACATCATTTGGCATCACAATGCACGACAACCAGCCATTCCCCACGTAGGCGCTCGATTTCGCAAGCACTCACTCAAGACAAAGAAGAGTAAAATCACAGCACTTCACAACCAGCCATTCCCCAACTAGACGCTCGATTTCACAAGCACCCACTCCAGACACAGATTATTTGGCATCACAATGCACGACAACCAGGCTTTCCCCTTCCCATGCGGAGGTGCAGGTGCGCATCTCCAGCGCCAAACAGGGTGACCGAGACGCTTCCTGATAACAAGTCATTGCTATAAACAAAAAGACAGCCGCACACCCAAAACGACAGGACATTCCTAGGAAGACGCTCGAACTGTCAGGCAACCGGTGTTCCGAACGCAAACCTATTCCGCAACTAGACGCCGGCATCGCAACTGAAACAACACGATCCGACGCCTACGAAAAAAATGATTTACGAAGGTGACGCCCCGAAATCACAAGTTCCATCTCAAACGTCATCAAACGTTGAACATGTAATTCCCGAGTGTGGACGCTGTTTGTTAAGATTTCTCGTTCTGCTTCCCCCGCGAAAGTTTGCAAAGGCTCTACACCTGTAAAACGCGAAGACTTACTACCCCTTTCGGGTATTCAGAGACTCCAAAACCCTTCATTAAGGAATCTATTAGGGTTCCTTTTTTATCTGGTCCTATTTATAATTTGAAAGGCATTCCTTAATTAAAGGATTTTGGAGTCTCTGGGTCGGTAGATAAGTAAAATAGCTGTAGAACGTTGTAACATACTTTCCCCCAACTACACGCTGATTGGGCAAACTTCCTGAAATTCTTCCCCGCTCTTGCTTGTGACATCCAGAAACGGTTAACTTTCCGGCTCAACTGTAACATGTGAAACACCAAGTCGACACCCAAAGGCAACGACCCCCCCAAAAGGCTTCCCCGAAGTACTGCTGGCCGCGGAAACGGAACGCAACGACTTCTACAGGTGGGAGTAGATAAGCTCTTTTTTGGACGTGTCTCCAAGAACAGATTACTTGAAACACCATGTTGCAACCCGCTTGAAGCCCAAACCCGCGTACCGAGTGTTGACTTTCGAGAGCAACTTCATTGTTGATCCAGATTTTCGTTTAATGGCGGTTTCTCATGAGGCGGAACCCTGAAACATAAAGAGTTTCGCTTAAGCATGCTGCGGCGTGCCTGACCAAGAAAATCCATTTCTATGGGGACCCGAACGATACCCCAGAATGATACGTGTACGATACCCCGAACGATAGCTCCAACCTCCATGATCCAGACACTTGCCCTTCGCTTTCTTTCGGCCTCTTTACACGTGTTCAGCAAAACCTTGTATGCGGGCTACTTTGGATAGAAGCCGAGCAGCGAAACAACCCATCAGAACGGCCATTCCCCATGGAAACGTTCGATTTCACAGGGATCGTTGTTCAGCAAATCCCTGCTTTCGGGCTTCTTCGTATAGAAGCCGAACAGCGAAACAGCACATCAGAACAGCCATTCCCCATGTAAATGCTCGATTTCACAAGGATCGTTGTTCAGCAAATCCCTGTATCCGGGTTACTTCGTATAGAAGCCGAACAGCGAAACAGCACGTCAGAATGGCGATCCCCCCTGTAAAAGCTCCATTTTACAAGGATCGTTGCTCAGCCATCCCCTGTATTCGGAGTATTTCGTATGGAAGCCGAGCAGCGAAACAGCACATCAGAACAGCCATTCCCCATGTAAACGCTCGATTTCACAAGGATCGTTGTTCAGAAATCCCTGTATCCGGGTTTCTTCGTATAGAAGGCGAGCAGAGAGACAACATATCAGAACAGCCATTTCCCATGTAAACGCTCGATTTCATAAGTATCTCGATGTTAAGGATCTCGATGTTCAGCAAATCCCTGTATTCGGGCTACTTTGGATAGAAGCCTAGCAGCGAAACAACCCATCAGAACAGCCATTCCCCATGGAAACGTTCGATTTCACAGAGATCGTTGTTCAGCAAATCCCTGCATTCGGGCTACTTCGTATAGAAGCCGAACAGCGAAACAGCACATCAGAACGGACATTCCCCATGTAAACGCTCGATTTCACAAGGATCGTTGTTCAGCAAATCCCTGTATCCCGGTTACTTCGTATAGAAGCCGAACAGCGAAACAGCACATCAGAATAGCAATCCCCCATGTAAACGCTCCGTTTTACAAGGATCGTTGCTCAGCAATCCCCTGTATTCGGAGTATTTCGTATGGAAGCCGAGCAGCGAAACAGCACATCAGAACAGCCATTCCCCATGTAAACGCTCGATTTCACAAGGATCGTTGTTCAGCAAATCCCTGTATTGGGAGTATTTCGTTGGAAGCCGAACGGCGAAACAGCACATCAAAATAGCCATTCCCCATGTAAATGCCCGAGTTCACAAGAACCGTTGTTCAACACATCCCTGTATCCGGGTTACTTCGTATAGAAGGCGAGCAGCGGAACAGCACATCAGAACAGCCATTCCACATGTAAACGCTCGATTTCACAAGGATCGTTGTTCAGCAAAGCCCTGTATTCGGAGTATTTCGTATGGAAGCCGACGAGCGAAACATCACATCAGAATAGCCATTCCCAATGTACATGCTCGATTTCACAAGGATCGTTGTTCAGCAATTCCCTGCGTATAGAAGGCGAGCAGCGAAACCCCATGTAAACGCTGGTTGACACGACTTCCCCGGCACCTTCCCCCCATCTACTGGCGTGGATCGACAGGACGCGGCAACGACTTCAACAGTTCGGAGAGTAGGACGTGGAGACGGGTGAGCTTCAGGTACTGAGTCTCAGATTGGGGGTTCAGCGTAGAGCCCTGGAGTCCTGCGCGCGGTTTGAGAACTGGTTTGCCTCATCCAGCATCTTGACCTTAGCACAGGGACGCGGGACTACTTAACTCTGCGGCTACTTGCATGTAGACACCTACGATAATTACCATTACGATGTTACTACCCATGGTATCTAACACCGTCGCGGTAACAAATGCTTAACGCTCCTGGCTTCGTACTCACTCCCGGCATCATGGTTACGAAGCCAACGGCCCAGCCTGCTCGGCTGCACGATGAACCCAAGAACCGAGTTCAGCTGCCTTGGGAACAAAATGGACGAATCCAGGTTCAACAAAGGTGCTCATTCTCAGCAACAGAATAGCTAAAGCAGCATCCCGGCATCCCAACGACGAAACATCCATGGGGATGAATACTGCTTTCTTGAATCCGATGTTTCGGCACACGCCGAAATGCTAAAAAAAAATCATCTGGGCTTCGTTGCAATCTCCTCTGCAGCTGGAGCCTGAAGATGAAGGTCGCTGCCTACCTGGCACGAGGCACGAGGTGAACCCCAATTACTCGGCCGCGCCAACGTCCCAACGTCCTGGTCCTGGCCTCTGCAGCCCGCCGCCTCAGGTTTTCTGCAGCGTCGCTGAGGGATGCGCCGGCAGCTGCCAGGTTCGAGACCTTCCAACGTGTCGCACGCAAGCCCTCTGAGGCTGGTGACCTGTGAGTGCTTGGGACTTGGGACCCCGCCCAGGCTGGCATCGGCCCCACACCTAGGGTGACTCGCCGACCCAGCACTCCAGCTGCTATATGAGACGGAAAGGCGAAGCATCGCATCCTGAACTTGGCAGCCGAATCGCCCAGCTCGATGCAGAGGACGTTGCAGAAGCTGCAGCAGTTCCTGCGGAGAAGATCGTATCCTCGGGGCAGAAGGCCGAAGGCAGAAGGGAACATCTTGGAAGCCATGCTCTCCGCCAGGCCGCCGGTGCCCGGCCAGTCCAAGGCCAGCCTGCCAAGGACGGACCTCACCTGGCACCGCAACACCGCATGGCACCGCTACGTCACCAAAGGACTCGAGGACGGCGCTCTCTTCCCGGCTGCGAGTGCCTCGTCGGAACTGAGAGCCGTAAAGCCCATGTCAACTGCCTCGCGGTAGCTGTGGCTGCTGCACTCCTGCGACATTTAGACAACTTAGACAACAACCCTCGATCCGTCTCTAAGGCCAGTCCTTCGGCTCACAGTCGAAGATCCCAGAGCCTCGCAGCGCTCAGAGCTCTGAACTCACACTGCAAAATCGTTCGTGTCTCGTCTCTGCTCTCTCTGCTCTGAAGGCCTCCATCGCAGTAGCCGAAACTGTACTCTCGACCATAGACTTCGACACCTGAGAGCCGAGAGGACAACAGCTTCCCTTTTGTGATGCTGATGCCGTGCGCTGCATCCTCCACACATTGACATGAGCTCGGAGGGAAACAGAACTGATAGCTCAATCAATCGAAGCCCTACATCCGGACCTGCATGGAAGGCACCGGTGCCAGCTGCCCGGAAAACCCTCGGCAGCCAAAGGTGCTAGAGTAGTGGCAACACTGCCCGTCTAGCTCAAAGCACAGCCGAGCGACTGATTGAGCTGCTGAACTGCACCGTTACCCGTCACATCGTAGATGTGGACGGAGACGCTGGCGGATTCGCTTTGCAGGGGAGTGCGGTCTGCTTCTGATGTGCTCCCTTCTGTGTCCACGTCCGCTCGAGCACGTCCACGGCGCTGGTCCAGGCGCCGCCGCAGCGCCGCTTCCATCCGTCAAAACGAGACCCTACCATTTCATACCATCGCCTGGCTTTCTATTATTCTATCCAGGTATTCCCCCACCCTGCGCTTTCAAGCCGGTAGCAGGGGCACATATCTCGCAGCACTTCATGCCCAGCCAGCTGCAGGGGATGTTCTTAGCTCATCAGGCTTCGCATACCGGCATACTCAAAGCCTTATCTGAAGGCATATCAAGCGACAGCAGGCGGCCAAACCAGTGTAATCACTCCAGTGTCAGATGTTAACCACACCACTCGGAAGAGTCTCCTTGCTGCGGAAGAGCCCGCCTGCATCCGACCTGCGCCCGTCGGACCAGTGCGACAGCGCCTCGCAATGCTGTGGCACATGGACCCACCGTATCTGCACCGCATCCGCTTCTGTCGAGACAATAAGCGTAAACAAGAACATGAGAGTGCATGCTACTCTCCGCAGCAGACCTGCCGCTGAAATGCCATAGGCCCGGACTGCATTCTCAAGTCGATCTGCGACAAGCGACAGCCGCAGCCGAACATCCGACCGCCTGCGCAACAGCCAGAATCCCAAAGCTGAAGGCTCCACCTGACCACAGTGTGAGGAGGGAGCCGAGGGCCCCCGCCTTCCCTCGCTCGGTCCACGGGGTCCTGTCACGACGCTTGGAGATGTGAAAAGGCGCATTGCCATGGCAGGGCATCACCTTTTCCCGCCAGCTTCAGACCCTTGGTTGCAGACTGGCCTGAGAAGACTGTACATCGTCTCGAGTCGGGGTACTCAGATTGAGATCAGCAGGGTTGTGTCGGAGATGATTAATCTATTTTGTCATCGTCAACCCCTGCCCATCTCATGTGTTGCACCCGCTGTGCACTTTATGCGCAGGTGGAGGACTTAAATTCTGTGCAGCCTTCCTGTTGACTGCCAGAGCTCCAGAGAGCTTCCATTAACAGAATCCTTTACATTTAACCAGCATGCGCCGGTGAGAGAAGTAAGCAGCACCGTTCTAGGAATGTTGTTTGGCTGTTGCTATAAACCTGACAGAGTTGAAGAGAAACGGTGAGCTTGGGATCCCTGTTTATCGGTCAGGCTTGGCTCATGCGCGAGTCTTTCCCCGCGAAGGCCGCGAGATGTTCTGGCTCGGACTCCGCGGACGAATGCCCAATGGACGTGCTCGAAATGGATCCTCTGGGAGAGCCGCTTGATCGACGTTGTGCTGTCAAGGTTAAGACGCTTCAAAAAGCTGGCTCGTCGAACCAGCCTCACCCTCCGAATGCCGAATGCTAGGTCTGCTAGGTGCTTGAAACCCCGGTCCTTCGTCAGAGGAATCGTAGCACTTGGCCTCAGTTCCACAAACTGTTGCCAGCACAGCCCACACCACACTCACACGGCGGCTTTCTCGCCTTTCAATGTCGTTTTCGATTTGTTGTAAACTGCGGAGTTCTCGAGATCTTCGGGATCTTCATCGATCGGTGCTTGTCTGGGGCATCGGACTCATCGTTCCGGTACGGTAGGAAACCCGGTGCTCAGACGAGATGTCGCTGGCGTGTGTGAGGAGCAAGTTCATATTATGAGAGATCGGGCCTGGAACTAGTAGTGACTACTAAGATTACTTGTGCTCGTATGCTGCTAAGAGCACTACTAGAGCCGCTAAAGTCTTGGGATGGGGCAGTTCCTAGGGTTTGGGACGAAGTCGAGAGTCGGCAAGCTGCACACCACTGCCACAGGGAGCACACTTGGAGCACTAGCGGCTGGCGAAGCCCGGAAGCACGCTAGAAAGCAGGATGCACACGCATGATTCGTCTCGGTCAGTCACGATGAAAACTAGGCACATTGATTCCCAGTTGAACTGAACTGTCTCCATGTCACCGTTCGGCCGCTGATGTGCGCATATCGTCCGACTGCCAGCCTCAAATTCATGGATTAAGGCATGCAAACTTGGGCTCACTTCGGAATGTTCCTAGCACAAGCGCAAGTGGCCGAAACTTCCAAGAACAATGTATATACGTAGATGTATGCGTGTATATATATATATATATATATATATATATATATATATGGTAACCCCCCCCCCCCGGGACCAACCTCGGCCATTGTCCTGCTCATTACTGTCTTCACAGCGTCATGAATAAGAGCCGAAACCACTGTAAATACCGATGGTGTTTGTGTTCCCGTACAAAGTTTGCACTCTCGACGCTTCTTGACAGACTGGTAAAAAACAGGGTCCAGTTTTATGGACACCATTTACACTCTCGGCGCGTCTTGTCGAAGTGGTAAAAGACAGAGTCCAGTTTGTGTGCCTCATCCTTTATTAATTATTGTCATCTTGTCAAAGTCTTATTATTAGTTTCAGTCTTAAAAAACAGTGTTAACATTGGTCTTGACTTAATTTTGTTCTAAGTTTTAACCTCAACTATTGTGAGTAGTAACCTCAATATTTTTGCTAGCGTTAGCATTATTATTAGTTTTGTGTCATTACTAATTTTAGAAGTTTTAACAATGCTGCTGGTATCTGTCCAATATTACTGTTCGTTTGATTAGTGTTCCTGTTAGTGCTGATGCTGGTGTCAGTGTCAACGTCAGTGTTAGTCTTAATATTAATATGAGTATTAGTGCTCCAGTTTAATTTAATATATGTCTATAGCAGTGTTAGTGTTAGTGTTCGTGTTAGCATTCGTATTAATATTAGACGTGGGCTGGGCTTTAAAAACTTAGTCTTAGTACATTATGTGTATAAGTATTCATATGTGTATATTCAGTATATTGGTATATAAACAAAACATATATATTCATAAAAAATTTTTTGGTATACTCGTATATTGGTATATTAGTAACAATGGTCTATTGGTCTATCAGTTTCTCAGTATATTAATATATCAATTTATTAGTATATTAGTATAATACTATGGCCGTACATATTGGTAAATGAAAACATTGAGTTTTTAACAATCTGATGCATTCATTTCCTTGTGCCTTATTCTGATGTATTCTTTAGTATACATTACAAAAACGATATTGACATTAATATGATGTTTGTAAGTTCATATTGGTATTGATATTAACATGAGTTGTCATCTTGTCAAAGTCTTATTATTAGCTTCAGTCTTTAAAAACAGTGTTAACATTGGTCTTGACTTAATTTTGTTCTAAGTTTGAACCTCAATTATTGTGAGCAGTAACCTTAATATTTTTGCTAGCGTTAGCATTATTATTAGTTTTGTGTCATTACTAATTTTAGAAGTTCTAACAATGCTGCTGGTATCTGTCCAATATTACTGTTCGTTTGATTAGTGTTCCTGTTAGTGCTGATGCTGGCGTCAGTGTCAACCTCAGTGTTAGTCTTAATATTAATATGAGTATTAGTGCTCCAGTTTAATTTAATATATGTCTATAGCAGTGTTAGTGTTAGTGTTTGTGTTAGTATTCGTATTAATATTAGACGTGGGCTGGGCTTTAAAAACTTAGTCTTAGTACATTATGTGTATAAGTATTCATATGTGTATATTCAGTATATTGGTATACAAACAAAACATATATATATTCATTAAAAAAATTTTTGGTATACTCGTATATTGGTATATTAGTAACAATGGTCTATTGGTATATCAGTTTCTCAGTAGATTAGTATATTAATTTATTAGTATATTAGTATAATACTATAACCATACATATTGGTAAATGAAAACATTGAGTTTTTAACAATCTGACTGAAAAAACATACCAATGCTGATATTAATACGAATGCTAACATTCATGTATGAGCATGTTATTATGCACGTTCCCACTAGCCTTAGTGCTAATATTAGCATGAATATGAGTACTCCAAAAATGAGTAATTTCACGAATATGCATAGCCAATATTCATACTAGCGATAATACTAGCTATAGTATGTATATTAGTATTCGCATCAAGACTATTCATACAATGTACATGATTTCAAGTATTCTTGGGAACATCAGTATTCATACTAGCATACTATCAGTTTCACCAGTAGTATTACTATAAGTATTAGTACTCGTATGAGTATTATAGTTTTCAAGGTTTTCAAAATAATATCAATATTACTACAAGTATCAGTTGCACAGACACGTCAACCGGCGACGTCGCGAGGTCGAGTTCCCTAAATTCTCTAATCACTGCTTCCATGCCTCGAATTTACAGAATGCGTGAGTTCCTGCAGACTCCCTAAATCCCTAAAGTCTTTACATACCAAAAATTTCCAGCCCCATGTGTTGGTTTTAGTGCATTCCCTAACATTCCTGACTCCCAGCCCGGAGCATGTGTTGGATTTAGGGAATTCCCTAAATTCCCTAAATTCCCTAATTTCCCTAAATTCCCTAAATTCCCTAATTCCCTACCCTATGTGTTGGATTTGGGGAATTCCCTAAATTCCCTAAATTCCCTAAATTCCCTAAATTCCTTAAATTCCTTAAATTCCCTAAATTCCCTAAATTCCCTAAATTCCCTAAATTCCCTAAATTCCCTACCCATGAACGGAAACCATTGAATCTTCTCCATGGGGGTCAGACTTAGGGAATTTAGGGAATTTAGGGAATTTACGGAATTTAAGGAATTTAGGGTATTTAGGGAATTTAGGGAATTTAGGGAATTTAGGGAAATAGGGAATTCCCCAAATCCAACACATGGGGTAGGGAATTAGGGAATTTAGGGAATTTAGGGAAATTAGGGAATTTAGGGAATTTAGGGAATTCCCTAAATCCAACACATGCTCCGGGCTGGGAGTCAGGAATGTTAGGGAATGCACTAAAACCAACACATGGGGCTGGAAATTTTTGGTATGTAAAGACTTTAGGGATTTAGGGAGTCTGCAGGAACTCACGCATTCTGTAAATTCGAGGCATGGAAGCAGTGATTAGAGAATTTAGGGAACTCGACCTCGCGACGTCGCCGGTTGACGTGTCTGTGCAACTGATACTTGTAGTAATATTGATATTATTTTGAAAACTTTGAAAACTATAATACTCATACGAGTACTAATATTTATAGTAATACTACTGGTGAA